TAGGATAACAGAAGTCACTAGTATCCAGTTTTTGAGATCACTATCTTTTTTCAATGATTTTAAATGCTGTTAGCCATTTGCTATATGTACTCTACTTTGTAACTAGTTGCTGTTTGCTACTTTGAGGTGTGTTGTCAGAATTAGAGAATTGTATGCATCCAAGTAGATGTTGTCACATGTTGAAATAGATCTATTTGTAAGGACAAGTGCCACATTCTCCGAAGTTCATTGTGATTTCACGTGCTTAATGAAAACAGCTAATTTTATCTGAGTTGTCAATAATGAGTCTTATTTCATGTTATGCTTGTGTTGGTTTGAAAGAAACCAGGTAAAGCTTCCAAATGTTGTATTCAGTCCAGTAACAGTGGTGGTGCTCAATTTTCCCAAGAAACAAAATTTTGATCTGAGGTATTTCAAATAACCTGTCTTGGTAACCAAGTGGTTATTTTGTGTTTGCATCCTATAGGCTGTTTTTTCCTTTCTCTGGGACACAGTTGCCTGTGATGTATTCCTTTAAAATTATTGAGGGAATTTTTGCTGTTGTTTTTGTTCTGGAGTATGAACTCAGAGCCTAACAATTGCTACTCTGGAACTCTACCATATAATTCTTTCTGCCAGCTGATTCTCATCCCTAGGGAACATGTGTGTGTGAGTAGAGATATTTTTCAGTTTTTACAATGGAAAGCAGGCACTGGATTTAGTGACATCTAGTGGATGAATACCATGGATATTGTTAAACATTGTGCACTGGTCAGTGCATTACCCACAACTAAATATCAATCCCCTAATATTGCTAATGCTGCAATTGAGAAACCTCTTTGTAGGCAGATCTTGATATTGCTGCTGTAAACCTGCTCATCATTACTGGACCATAAAGTGTTCTATCATGTACCTTTCTTTGTACTGGACTACCACATTATTTTGTGTGCTAAACAAGCACTATATGATTGATCTATATTGTGAAAGTTATGTATATATATATAAGACATGGTTTCCCTGTGGAGTCCAGAGTATTTTTGAACACTTCTGGTGGTAATAGGATTTGAAATCAAGACTCATCCATGCTAGCTCAGGCACTAACACTTGATCCACTCCAACATACTATTGTTGGGTTGGATAGTATCAACATAGTGTCTTGCAAACTATTTGACTGGGCTGGTTTTGAACCTCAGTCCCCCTGATCTCTGCCTACTAACTAGCTATGATGACAGGCATAAGCCTCTGCCACCAGCTGTGACCTGGAAATTTTGGTCCTCATGACTGATCCTTCTCAAGTGCTGGCTTGAAGTCTTGTCCCTCCAAGTCTTTCTTCAATTGCTGTCATGTGCTTCTGCTGTTCATCTCTTCTTTGCTTCCTTTTCTTCCTTCTTATTCTTTCTTCATTCCTCCTTTCTCTTCATTCTTCTTTCATTTGGATGGGCAAATTTTTCTAAATTATTTGCTCTATCATGTAAATATTTCTCTTATCAGATTGGCGCCTATTGTAAATGTAACTGGTTTGTTTGTATATTTTATTGTTATATGCATTTTGGACAGTGCATAAATATTTCCACAATGTCCCATGTACTTCTTAACTGTACCCAGAATATTTTGTTAATCAGAAACCCTAAATGTTAAGCCAGACATCATTGGGTACAGCTATAATTAGGCATTTGTAGACTGAGGCAGGGAGAATGAAACACAAGGCCAGCCTGGGATAAATAGTGAGCTACAGATGTCATTGTGTCTCAAGTGGTACAGTTTTGCTTATCAAGCATGAACCCCTGAGTTCAAACTCCAGGACCACAAAAAAGTTATTGAGCTCCTGCTCATTCTCTGTGACAAAAAAAAAAAAAAAAAACCCAAACAAATCCCAGTCCCAGAGCCTCATCCTTGTAATACTAGGATCTCAAGAGACAGAGATCAGGAGGATTGTGGTTCAAAGCCAGCATATGCAAAATTGTTCACAAGACCCTATCTGAAAAGAACTGATAAGAAGAAAATTGCTAGAGGACTGCCTCAAGTGGTAAGAGAACATGCCTAGCAAGAGTGACTCACTTCAAACCTCAGTTGCATCCCCTGAAAAAACAGGATTCCAAGTGTTTGGTCCCAAGCTCTTTGCATATGCATACTCACAAGCATGGATACGTGACGTGGGAGATATATGGATATATATGTGCATTCCAATGTGATATGGGGAAGCAGTAATGTCGGCGTGTGTCTGAAATCAAAGATAGTCATGAGAGTCCAGAAAATGCTTATAATTTTGAGAGCAGCCATGGACAGCATGTGTGTACAATAAAAGTCCACACAAAACAACTTCACCAGAACACTTCACACTTTCCAAAGGACAGAAACTAAAGAACCTGTTATACAGTAAGTCACAAACACAGTCCTCCACATTTTTATTCCTGCATATTGAGTAGTGTCTAAAGTTTGTCTTCTGGCCTGGCTTTGTAGTTCAGGAGGTAAAGTGCACACTGAGCATGCATCGTGTTCTGAATTCATCCCCAAATGGTGAAAAAGAAATAGTAAACTGCAACAGGTTTTCCTTCTAGCAGTTGTGATCTACTGGAAGACCCTTTATACGCTGAGCTCATGAATCTGTACTAAAGTGTAGCTTCTCTCTTGCTTCTATGGCTTTCCTCTCCTGCTAAAATTTGGTTCAGGCATGGCCATAATTCCTGCTGATTCTAGAATCACCAGAGCTGCTTTGGTTTCCTGATTTTCCAAATTATTGGCCTTAAGCACCAAGATTGAAACATGAGCTGTGAGGAAGTCCTGGCCATCTGCTTCATTCTGATATCTAGAGTAAGAGCATCAAACCTACATTGTCTTCCTGTGTCCTAGTAATCCTGTGTATTTTCCCCTTAACTACCAGGAATATTGAGTCTGAAGTTCTCTGAGCAGATCTGTTGTCTCAGTTTGAACAGGAATATGTAAGATCCCAAGAGCATGACAAAAAGGAAGTGCCCAGTGTGGAGGACAAGGACAGGTTTTGCAATTATTGCTGCTCCCACTCAAACTGAAACTGGTCTCCATGTAAGAAAAAGAATCTGGCAATTACTGAAGAGGGATTCTGTCATTTGAATTCACTCAGTTACATATAGGAACTCTTTCTGTCACTCAAGACTTGAGAGGTGGGTCCTGTATGCATTAGCCAATCAGAACAGCTGGTCAATCACATGCACCAATCATCCAATGAGTGCACCAGTGACAAGTCCAAGTTTTCTACAGCATACTTGACATACTTGCTCTCTGTCTGCTGCAGTGAGAGTTCTCAGGCTACTCAGCTGGAGCAGCTATGTGATTTCTACTGACTTCAGTAGTATAGGGAGGACATCTGGACACATTACAAGCACAAAATTTGAGAGTATGACTGGGCATCTGTAGTTCTGGGGTAGAGGCCTTTGAAACAGGCAGCTGGAGTGGTACAGCTCAAGCCCCTGTCAGCTAGAGCTGACAGTGTGGGACTTGCCTCACTGCTGGGACTTTAGGTCCCCTTCTGTCTGGAGTGTGGGGCTGCCCTGCTGTCCCGTGTCCACATGTGGCAACTTCATTCCAGCCTCCTGCCCTTCCAGGGCTGCTATGCATGCAAATGCTTGTCTTTCAGAATGTAAGGTGACTGTCCTGTGTCATGTGACACTTCTGCTATTTATGGACTTTGTGCTTGGTTGAGGCACTGCTGTACAGTTTCCCCATATCTCCTTTCTCTGTATTAGAACTTGGTTTCCTTTTGAGTCCTTCAGGTTCAAGGGAAGCATGGGCTAAATCCTATGTTCTGTCCCTTCAACCAATGCTAACTGTGAAGAGGAAGGGAAACGTTCTCATGGCTGCCCAGTACTCACGCTAACAATTAGGATTTCAGGGCTTCAGCCACCAGCAAATGAGAGTCAATCACACATAGACTGGTTTTCCAGAAATGACCATCCACATCTGTACAGACCACAATAAAGTCTTGAGTTCTCCGAACCCCCAGTGCAATATTCCTATGTGAATCTTCCCACCCTCCTGTTAGAGGATGCACCTTTGATTTTCTTTTCCTTTGCATCACATGAACTGAACTGCCCAACTTTGTATCAGAGCAGTAGGACTACCCTTTTTCAGTTCCCAATTGTTTACCAAATAAACTTCTTGCTTATCTTATGTTCATTTCTTTGTAAATTGTTTTACCAAGAAGTGACAGCAATCATCCCTATCACTATCCTAATATGCCATTTATCTTGTGTAGAAGTTGACCACATGTGCTGTTTGCTGAGGTCATTCCTCCATATTCCTCTTAGCAGTTTTGGATACTATTTTAATTAAGTATATTTTTTAAAACAAAATAATATGGCTACCTTTTTTGTCCTATTTCTGATGTTTCCCTATTAAAGGGAAAGGGTGGTTTTTGTGCCTAACTGACTGTATTCAGTCTGAGTTGTCCTCGTTCTCAGGGATGTTTGCAATTGTCTAATTCCACCAACACAGTGTAAACAATGGAGCAGAATCCACTTTACAAAGTATATTATGTAGAATAAATGCCTTAAGCCATTTGAATTTACTGGAAAAAGAAAACAATCCTCAGGGCTGGGCAATAATAGCTCACACCTTAATCCTACATCCTGAAGATTACCAATCAGGAGTATGATATTGAAAAAATAAGGAGGATTATGTTTGGCAAATAATTTAATAATTTACTTAACACACACAAAAAGGCTGCTGGGGTGGGTCATAGGGTACACTATATGCATAGGTAGCAAAAAGTTCCGAGTACAAATCCGAGGGCAAGAAAAAAACAAATAGAAAAACAAGCAATCGAACATATCCTTTATTCTCACAATAAGGCCCAAATTTATTATTCCTTTAGGACAAAAAAAAGAGGCCCAAATTGTAAATCCAACAGAAAAATTATGGATTAAGCATTAGAGTGGTCAACACAGCAATACTCTTGAAAAGAAAAGAAAAAAACAGCAAGGGAAAGAAGAGAATAAAAAGTGACGTATAGTCTAATATTTATGAGAAACCTTGAATCTATACTATTACATGTGCTATATTATAATAAAGAGATTTACAAATAGATCTCAGTGGAAATCAAATGAGCCCTCACTAGATTTCAATGTAAAGAGAAAACTGATTCTTGACAGAACAGGCATCATAAATGGTGGCCAAATCAATAAACACTTTAAAATATGAGACAAGGATAAATCCTGATTCTACTAGAAAACATGCTTTCTACCCTTGTCTATATCTTGAACAATATGCAAATTGCAATGGGAAAGAAGGTAGATAAAATCTAAACACATTCACATGTATCATTTCACATGTTTTTCATCCCAGCATTTGGAAAATAGAAGTTGGAACACCATAATTTGATAGTCACCTATTATACCTATCCAGTTAAATAAGTACCTGTCTCACTATAAAATGTAAAGCATGTTGAAAGTCACAATCAAAAAGATACAAAGAGAGCTGGCAATGTGGCTTAATTTTTAGAAAACCTGGGCAGCAAGGATGTGGTGCTGATCCGAACTCCAGTCCAACATAAAACAAATTCTTAAGCCACTCCTTCCAGCACTTAAGCAAGTCTATTAATGCAGGATTCCATGTGGCTGTCTTTATTGGCTGGCACCAGAATAAGAAGCATAAAGACTTCTAGAGAAAAATTGTAGACATACTTATTCCACAGATCTCTAAGAATTCATAAGGCATGCTGTTACTAACAAAAGTTACATAAACTGGCAGTGTCGTGAGTGCGAGAATGGAGTCCTTATATTGCTAAAAGGAAGCAGGATAGGTGAAGGCTTTCCTTCATTACTTCAATACATAGAGTTTCACTCCCCTGTGATATCTTACATGTATTTTTTGGTAATGGGAATGACAGAATATATTCCCATATATGTTGCTTCACCTTTTTGATGGTGAATACAATGAATACAGACAGGTTCATTATGATTACACCTACAGATTTTCTCTCCAGGGTGCAGATTTTCATGTTTGAGGTCATGGTAATGAGTGAAGACTCTCCACATTGCATTCCTAATCCAGTTATTCTCCATTATTAATGTTGTATGTTTTGGAGGAGCAATGGAATGTGTGAAGTCTTAGCCATATTACACACATGTATAGCAGTGAGTTACAATGTGAATTGTGTCATAGCAAAGAAGATTACTGGAAAAGGTGAAAGCATTCTTCCATTACTTACATTGATAGTGTTTCTGAGTTCATTCATGATTTTCAAGACATGGATTTGTGAATGTTTTATCATATTTGGTATGACACTAGTGTTTATTTACACCATGAGTTCTTTCAGGTGCATGAACAGTACTCGAACTAAGGAAGGCTTTCCACACTGCTTATGTCCACTGGGTTTGTCCTGTTTGCATTCTTTGATGAGTATGAAGGATATTGGATAGAGTGTAGGTTGTCTCTAATTCCTTACATTCATAGTTTCTCTGCAGAGTGAGTTCACGTTGTTTTAATGTCACTGTAAATTGCTCATTTCCATAGCTTGTCTCTCTAGTCTAAGTACCTTTATGTCTTTTAAGGGTAGTGGAGCATGTGAACACTTTCCCCCCATTGGTTACAACTAAAATGCTTGTCTTCACTGTGAGTCCTTTCAGGTCTTCAAAGGTGACTGGAATGAGTCAGTGCTTTCTTTCATGGCATACGCCTGTAAGTTTTCACTTCTGTGTGAGTTCTTCTATGCACGTGTAGGTGAGTACGTTGATTGAAGGCTTTCCCACATTCCTTACATCCATAGGGTTTCTCTCCACTGTGAATTCTTTCATGAATTCGAAGGTAACTGGCTCCAATGAAAACTTTCCCACATTGCTGACATCCATATGGTTTCTCTCCAGTGTGAATTCTTTCATGAACACGAAGGTAACTGAAATCAGTGTAGGCTTTCCCACATTGCTTACATCCATAGGGTTTCTCTCCAGTGTGAGTTCTACTATGTCTCTGAAGGTAACTCCCTCGATTAAATGTTTTCCCACACTGCTTACATCCATAGGGTTTCTCTCCAGTGTGAGTTCTTTCATGAATGCGAAGGTTACTGGAATCAGTGTAGGCTTTCCCACACTGCTTACATCCATATGGTTTCTCTCCACTGTGAGTTCTAGTATGTCTGTGGAGGTGACTCTCTTGATTAAATGCTTTCCCACACTGCCTGCATCCATAGGGTTTCTCTCCAGTGTGAGTTCTTTCATGAATACGAAGTTTACTGGAATCACTACAGGCTTTCCCACATTGCTTACATCCATAGGGTTTCTCTCCAGTGTGAGTTTTTTCATGAATAGCAAGGTTACTGGCTCGAGTGAAGATTTTTCCACATTTCTTACATTTGTAGGTTTTCTCACGAGTATGACTATTTTCATGAATACGAAGGTTACTGGAATAATGGTAGGCTTTCCCACATTGCATACATACATAGGGTTTCTCTCCAGTGTGAGTTCTACTATGTCTCTGAAGATTACTGGCTTGAATAAAGGCTTTCCCACACTGCTTACAAGCATAGGCTTTCTCTCCACTGTGAGTTTTTTCATGATTTCGAAGGTTACTGGCTTGAGTGAAAACTTTCCCACATTTCTTACACCCGTAGGGTTTCTCTCCAGTGTGAATTCTTTCATGAATTCGAAGATAACTGGCTTGAGTAAAAGCTTTCCCACATTGCTTGCATCCAAAGGGTTTTATCCCAGTGTGAGTTCTTTCATGATAGCGAAGGTAATACACATTAGTAAACAATTTCCCACATTGCTTACATCCATAGGGTTTCTCTCCAGTGTGAGTTCTTGCATGCTTTTGAAGGGAACTGGCTTGTGTAAAAACTTTCCCACATTGCTTGCATCCATAGGGTTTTACTCCAGTGTGAGTTTTCTCATAAATATGAAGGTTACTGGAATGAGTGTAGGCTTTCCCCAATTGTTTACATCCATAGGGTTTCTCACTAATTTGAGATGTTTCATGAATGTGAAAGGTATCAGATTCAGTGCAGGCTTTTCCACATTGTTTCCATCGATGAGATTTCACTACATTGTGTATCCTTTCATGGATTAGAAGAGACTTGCAATCATTGAAGGTTTTCCCGTAAGCATTACATATATTGCTTTGCCATGGTGCTATTCTAAGCAGAGTTTCCTTGTTTACTATATTCTCTGAAGTCTGATGAAAGGATTCTCCACATTGAATATGTTGTTTATGCTCATGCAGTCTCTCTAACACTTCGGGTCTGCAAAACAGATAAAGATTACCATTGCTATCCTATTAATGATTTATTAAGAGAAGTTATGGTGTTTGTTTTTGTAGGATTTATGAACACAAATGTACTACATGTTCTGCAGCAGGGCCTGAGGACAGCTATTACTGATACAGTGGTATTCATATTTATTTCCAGAATACTATTTCCATGCTAGGTGTTTGACAACACTGAATGAGTTTTAACTACATTGAAATACACTTAATGTGCTTATTGAGATGGCTTGGATAAAAAGAATGTAGGGTTGTGAAATACAAGAATGAACACGAGGACATACATTGAAAATGGGCCAGTGTATATCAGTCAGTGCACACGATAATCCTAGTGTGTCAGAATTTGATGTAATATAATTAAATTAATTTGTGTAAAGGTGGGATTATTTTTGTGTATTGAACAAAGGACAGTATCCCTTGAGACTTCTTATGACAAAATATACTAACAATTATGGCACATATCAGATTTTGAATTTTTTTATTGTGAATGCTTAAATTCTTTTTCTGATATTAGAGAAACTTTTCAGGGATTTCAGAAATTATAAATAGATGTTGTGGTCTCATATGCATGGTTTTCAAACTTCTTGTCAATGCCACTCCTGATATACACTGTTTTGGTTATTAGTACAAATTACCTCATATTTCTTCTGGGATGGCTGAAGTCCGCATCAATATTTTCATTATCTTCTTTGTAAGGTATAAACAAAAAGAAATCATTAGTATTTAATCAATGTGAAAGAACAATTTGAGACCTCAGCTATTTCCATGGTATTATAAGATCAAGCATGTATATGAACCATTACTGTCCCCTTTTAAACACCCATTTAAGCAACAACACCAATTATCCACAACAGTAGTGTGCAGTTTTTATAACATAATGATGTCATATTTACCTATGTAGGACAGGTTGCTATAGGTTTCTAGCATCACTTCTCTGTAGAGCTTCTTTTGGGAAGGGTCCAAACAGCCCCATTCTTCCAGGGTGAAGTTCACAGCAACATCCTCCAAGGTCAGGGGTTCCTAAAATGTCCCACACACATTTGTGAGAAGAATTGTGAGTGTCACAGCAGTGGAAATAGAAAATCTCTATGTAATAAGTTCACATGGTGATGTGGTCTCCACATATTCAATGCATTTTGTTTTTATCACACTCATTCTCCATCTATCCTCACAGGCACTTCATGGTAATTCTGACATCTCACTGGATTGATTTCCTAAATTCAAAGCAGAATATCATCACAAAAATTCCATTTTATACACTGACATTGTAGCACTCTACTGACAAGTTTCTTCTTCTTAGTTCCCATTAGAGTAATATCAGGTGAAAATAGACTGCAACAATAATGATTTTAATACAGGAATAAAAATTTCATGTCTACTGGCATTGCAGAATTGCTAATGAGATGAACCTTACCAAACCAAATATAAAGTAGAAAAAGGGGATAGTGTCCTGGAGCAATTTATTCCAATAATATCCTATTGTATACAAACTATTTATGATTATTTGCACATTTCTTCAATGTTCACTGGAGAGAGTTTGTACTAAGAGAACCCACAATGCACTCACGGTTATGAACAGAATGTTGGTATGACAAACAGTATTTAATATCTCTTTCGTAAAATATTTCTCTTGTAATTGAGCACCTCCTTGATGACTGTATGAAGAGAGAACATTTGGAAGCTTTTACCTGGTTTCTTACAGACTAATCAAAAGTTAAAGGTAAATAATATGCATGAAGGACTTTTCAGATAATGTTACAGTTTTTGCTTTAGCATGAAAAAACATACAGTACATAGAAGAAATGTGTCACATGTCCCTATAAATAGATGAATTTAAACAAGTCATCACATCATGTAGCCGTGTACAATTGTGCAATTTCAAAATACACCTTAACACTCATGAACAAAACTACTTTTCAAAGTGTAATTAGGTTCACAAATTGCAAACAGCAATGAAAAATAATGGGAATAAGAATACAATCCCTTGGCCCAATTGTGGGCCTAATCTTGGAATTCCACCAGAAGGATCACAGATTAAACACTGGAATGATCTCCATAGCAAGAACCACTGTCAGAAAAGGAAGCATAATGAAGAAGAATGGAAGAGAACAAGGGAAAGAACACAAAATGTCCTACTATGTAATATCAATAAACAATGTCCCAACTGCATTATCAAGGACACTGTACTATGAGAAAGAGATTAACAAATAGGTCTCAGAGGAAAGGGAACGAGTCTTCCTTTGACTTTAAAGTAAGAGGAAATTGATTCATGACAGAAGACACATCATGCAATTTTGCCTGAAAGCACAAAATCTGAAACCCAGTTCCTCCTTGAAATCACATATTATATTCTCCAATATCATGGACAATGATCAAATCGCATGGGAAATAGAAAAGTTAACATCTGAATACTTTTGAATACTTTTTGAAGTCATTGTGTCACATGCCTGTCATCCCAGCAATTGCAAAACTAAGGAAGGACTAGCAGATGTTCAGTGTTATCCTGGGATACATCTCAGTTCAAGAGCTATATGTAAAGTCTCTGTGTGAAAGTAACACAAAAAGAAGAGCGTTCTGAAAGTCATTACCCAAGGAACATACAAAAGGAAAGTGGAATGTTAATATAGTAGCATGGAAAAAGAAAAAAAATGAGGCTAAATATCTGCAATAAAAGGCAAAAGAAAGAATTAGTGTACTGCATACACAAATGAATGAGAATGATATTGAGAAATGCACATGTCTATTCAACATAAAATACAAGGTATGAATCAAGATCTATGTCCGTGATTTAGGAATTAACTGAGTAAAATCAGTGTTCAAAATCCAATACATAAATAACGTGTAATGCTTAAATGGAATGGCAATTGCTGTGAGCTCCACTGACATTTCTCTAATTCTAATTATAAAATAGAGCCCTGAAATCGTTTCTAATACCCACTGGACTTATTATGAAAGTTAATCAGAACTATCTTTCACGTCCTGGAGAAGAGGTCTAGAAAAGACCTCAAAACCATGACCACTGAAAGAAAAGTGAAAATAGTTTAGTTCAATATCACACATGCTTGAGTTTGTGAAAAACGTTCAAAGACAGTACCCAGAAAGCACTTATAAGGAATAGGTCTAATACTTTTTCTAATTCCAAAGGGTCAAAATAAGAACACGGTTTAATGGATAAGATGGAAAAAGGATTTTCTCAGTTTGCATAAAATAGTGCAAAGAAAACGCTTAAAGTTTTCTGTTCTTCCTGCAGTCATGCTCACTCTTACCCACCCTGAGTCTGAAGCAGAAGAAAAATCCTCTTTACTGTCAACATCAGAACAAAATTATCACAAGGAATAATCTACCAGCAGTGAAAGTTGATTTAGCTATATGTCATCACTGTTACCTCCCGATTTCTTCCCCTTTCTTGGAAACCAAAGATCTTTTATGCCTAGCAATTGTGCCATTTGCGTATCTTAATTTTGGAACAACCCACATAGTGCAATAATTTCATAAAACCTTCAAGTGTGAAGAACACACTCAGTGCTGAAAAGGAGCCCTGCAAGGCCTAAGATTCCATTGATCAGCAGAGAAAGCTGAGGACATAACTCTGTGATCCCATCATATTCTTTTACTCTCATCTACTAGTGAGAAAACTCTAGGCCTCTACATTGATATTTCTGAGAGAGAACATTTCAATTCAGTCATTTTAAGTTTCCACTAAAATAAAATGTGAAATTCAGAAACTCAGTATATATGACACTAGCAAAATGTGACTATCTTTTACACATACCCTCACAGATAATCTTCATGTGTTCAGAGAAGTATAAATCCAGAATAACTATACATGTCAAAGTCAAAACACTGAAGACAAAACAGTACCATATTAGCAACAGTTATACCTTTAGAAAGAACACCCACCAGAATTTACCTGTGGTTCACCTTACTTCAAGTACTATGCACCATCAAACTGGTAACACACTATCTCTCAGAACACCAGACTTTGTTGAATTTTATAGTTTTACAATATTTAAAATGCACTTGATAGCTTAGACTATGTTACACTTTGGAAAAAGTTCACTGGATTCATTAAATGTACTTTTATTTGGTGTTGATGAATGGAACCTGTAACACTTGCATCCAGTGGGCATATGAGCATGTTGAGTTATCTAGCATCATTTTCTGCATTTTTCTCCTTGCTTTTTATTTTTGGTTGACAAGTCTTTGAGTTCAGGGTTTTATGTTTGCAAAGCAGATTCTCTACTAATTGAGCCACACTTCCAGTCTTTTTGCAATGGTTATTTTTGGAAATTGGGGCTGATGAAATATTTACATTTATCCAAAAACAGTGAAATATGATAATAAGTGAATCCTTGAGAAAAGAAATGAATAACTTAATGTTAGGTCAATTTCTGAGCATGAGCAAGGCCACAGGTTCTCTCCCAAGCACTGGAAAAAACTAAACAAAATGATACAATCAAAAAAGAAATGAGTAAAAGATATTCAGGTTTTATTTAAACCAATAAAAATAGGATTACCTGTATTATTTTTATTGATTTCCTCCTAGAGTTATCTTTCTACTTCAAGCCAACCCATCAATAACATTCCAACAATGGCTATTTGAATTTCCAAGGGAAAAGATGATTATATTGCACAATACCAAAAGAAGAACTTTTTAGACCCTGTGGCTCAAACTTGTCATACTAACTACTTTGGAGGTTAAAGTCAGGAGGATCACACTTTTTGGGATCCTTGTTTATCTGGGATGGTCCCATGTATCACTTAACTAGCATTTATCTACATACCTCTTACAGGGGCAAAGGATATCTAAGTTGTTCCTATTGGTCAAGATATATTAAGAGTTTTAGTAATTCTGTGCCAGAACCTGAGATAAAGAACACACACAGTTTTTTAAATATATCACCAAGCAAAATAACCTCTCAAGTGAATAAATCCTTTCTTTCAGCTGGAGATCCTACAGGTCTCTGACTTTGCCATGCTCCATGGTAGGCTACCTCAATTGTCAAAAATTACATTGTGACAAGACAAATTCTATGAATGAAAATGCAAACAACTGAAAACTTGTCCAAGCAAAGTAATCTTGGTAACACTAGTGGTTAAGACTTCCACCCCACCATCGTTCATGTTCCCATTGTTCTTAGATATCCAACAAGGGAAACACACACTTTTGATTCTTTCAAGTTCCACCTCAAATTCATAAACTTCCTTGATCATCCGAAAAAGAATCCTAACTATATAAAGTATCCTAATGAAATTCTCTACTCTTTCCAGGCAATCTCTGACTCATCCTCAGCCTGAGCACTATATCAACTCCTCCTTTATTATTGCATGCAACACAATCTCGAGACTAGGATCTCTGGTCCATGATCTAATTTGAGGCCCTCTTTTAACCATACTCTCTCAAATTCTTTTAACTGTATTTGGTCCTCTTTACTACTCTTGAAAAAACAGCCCTGCTTCACCTTTCCTTGAGACACCTGCACACTCTGTTGTTGGGACTGTCCTGCCACTGAGACCCTAAGTTCATACTTTTCCTAAATTTTCATTTCATTTTTGGAAAATGCTGTGTAGGCAGAGGCCAAAGAGAGCATCAATTATGTTCACAAAACTTTGATAAATTTCCAATCTCAATTCTCCCATTTGAAACCCAAGTCCCTGTGCACCACCATTGTAGAAATTTGTGCAATGTGACCTCCCTGTAAATTTAGGAATTTACTAAAATCATAAGAAGCACAGGTCTGGGATCTGGTTGTACATTCAAAACCGTGCTTCCACATTTTTACATAATTCAGGGCCATCAATTTTACTCTAAGAAGTTTTGACCTCTCATGACATTCATCCTCTTAATGCACTACAAGTTTCCATTCCTTAACCCTTCAGTTTCACTCATTTCTGGAGTTTCAACTAATTTAATCAACTGAGGTTTTATAGAAGGAAATCATAAATATAAAAAGCAACCCTTTCTTATTAGTGTCTGTCTGGGTGCCTGTTTCATACTAGACCATGATTCAGAATACATT